CAGAAAGATGAATGAAAGGAGCAAAGAAGTGAACAGCTTACCAGAGAAATCTACTTTTGAAGAGACCTGGAGTAAAATATGGTAGACGGAAAGTCACTTCAACGCAAACGCACCTTGGCTAGAACAGGTCAGGAATGCAGCAGCACAGATCACCGAAATGACAACCGGTCAAATCACCCTAGATATTCTGCATGCAGTTGTACAGAAACTTCAAAATTGTAAATGCCCTAGATCAGACGGTCTTCATAACTACTGGTTCAAAAAGTTCACCTGCCTCCATGGGAAAATTCTAAATCTCATAAACCACTATCTGAATGATCCTGAAGAAATGTCGCACTTTCTGTGTGAAGGTGTCACATATATGAAGCCAAAAACCAATGATACTACAGAACCTACGAAATATAGACCAATCACTTGTCCCAATTCTTTCTACAGAGTCATCACAAGTTGTTTATCAATAGTTATTGAGAAACACTGTAGCAAATTCTATCTTACCCGAAGCTCAGAAGGGATGCAGCAAGGGCTCCCTTGGATGTAAGGAGCAACTAATCATTGATAGTGTGGCCATGCCTCAAGCATGTAAGAAGAAACGCAACTTGTTCACCTGTTTCATTGGTTATAGAAAGACCTATGACATGGTTCAGCATGATTGGCTCCTCTATGTGCTGTGATTATATCGTGTGAACTCGACAATCGTGAATTTCCTGAAATCCATCCATGGGCAAATGGAAGACAACTATTCGTGACACTTCAAAAAATTAAACAATGGTTACCAAGTAAATAAATATAAAACGCGGAATCTTTCAAGGCGATAGCCTGAGCCCTTACTGGTTCTGCTTGGCAATGAACCCGTTATCGACATTCCTAGAAGACCTGAAATTAGGTTTCGATTCATCTCGATCAGGTTTTGTTCAGTATCCCTGGTCCTTTGAGCAAATGCTGAGATGGCCCCTTGTTTGCTCCTGAACAGTAATATAACTTCGCTCTCTCCACCCAAGGCATCATATTGACTCGTCATACACGATTGTGTAGTTGTATATGTGACTCTAATAAACTATTATTATTATTATTATTATATTATTATTATTATTTTTTTATTTAAAAAAATTTATTATTATTATTATTATTATTATTCGAACTGAGAGGCACTGAAAGATTGCAGATAGCCCATTTAGCGTGTGTGGACGACATCAAACTCTACTCTGGTACGATGCGTGGCTTAAATATTCAGATGAAAACTACTGAAGACTTCTCCAGTGACGTAAATATGCAACTAGGCATTGATGAATATGCAACTAGGCATTGATAAATGCAAAATACAACAAATACAGAAGGGTAAACTCACTAGTAAGCTCACATACGAGACTGTTGATGGAGAAACAATCACTGCTCTGGAAGCTGATGAGCTCTACAAATACCTTGGAATTCAGCAAGGAAATATGATTGCACATCATCAACTGAAGGGCATACTGAAAACAGAGCTTGCCAACCGACTCAAGTCAGTGTTAAAAACTTTCCTCAACTCCCGAAACCTCAGGGCTGCCATTAACTCGAATGCTATATCCATTATCACATTCTCGATGGGTATTCTTAAATGATCCACAATCGACCTAGAGGAATTGGAGAGACTTGTAAGCATTTAAATGACACGCTCCGGTTGTCACCATTCTAAAAGTGCGATACAGAGGGTCACACTGCCTCGACAAATAGGAGGGCGTGGTCTTGTGAAGTTTACGAATCTCCATGCCAAACAGATAATAGCCATGAGGAAGTATTTTGCAGAAAAGGCACGTACTTCTCGACTCCACAAGGTACTTGTGCAGGCAGATGACAATTACACGCCCCTCAATCTATTACAAGATATGCAAGTTCATCAGCACTCTTTGCAGCAAGAGATCGATTCCAGGAAACAGAAAGCACTCCACGGTGCATACCCTGCTGCAGTAGCCAGTCCAAATGTCGACCAAGAAATGCTGTACAAATGGCTCAGTAGACGATATTTGTACCCTGAGAGCGAAGGTTTCATGATAGCAATACAAGATCAGGTGATTCCCACAAAGAATTACCTAAAATATATCATCAAAGACCCAGGAGTTCTAACTGATGAATATCGCATGTGTGGTCGAGATCATGAAACCATTCAGCATATTATATCAGGCGTAGTTGTATAGTTCCCACTAACAATAAAGTGAGACACGATCAAGTGGGCCACATCATCCATTCCAAACTAGCTAAAATCACACGCTACCTCAGAAAGTGGATGCACCATACTACCAGTATCATCCAGAAGCGGTACTAGAAAATGAGAACACACAAGTTATACTGAGACCGCCAGAATTTCTTACAGACATGACTAATTCAGCACAACAGACCTGATATTCCCCTTTAGACAAATCTGCAAAGATAGCTTTGTGGGTTATTGATTTTGCAATTTAAATTCCAGCAATATGGAATGACAACATACCAACTAAAATGGCGAAATAAAAAAACTAGTATTTTGCCGTAAAAGAAGCAATGGCGAGTGTAGAAGTGAAAAACTATCCCATTGTAGCTGTCAGCAACTGGCGTATACCAAAAACTCTCTGGCAGATCGTTGAAGAACCTCTTGGCTTGGAAGCATTTTTCATCGACCTCCAAGGAAGTCGTTATAATCAGTTACCTGCTCACTAGTCAGGAGATTCATGGGAGGACATGTTGGGTTTTGAAAGCTCATTCTTAAAATTGTATTTGTTATTAGCATTTGAAAACTTATTCTATGTTTACATCTGAAAACAGTTATTTTATGTTTATCTGTTAGAATGCCTTAATTTATTTTGTAGATTTTAAATATATGTTACCATACTTTGATATTATATCTGTGTGGTATCCATGTGAAACCAAAAACATTGTGAATAAACAAAATAACAACAACAACAATAATAATATTCATAATTTATAATTCCAGCAATTTGAAATTACTTATTGCATATGTTTTGTCAAAAATCAAACACACCCCACATTACTTCTATGAGATTTTAATTTAGTATATATAAAATGCATTGGTAGGTAAAATGGTAAAAGGTATCAGTGTATTATAAATTGTGTCCGATATGTAAATAGTGTTGCAAATGTAAAATAGCTAACTACCAGCACGTCGCTCCTAATGACCCATGTTATGAAAGAAAGTGAAAATATTTCTTTGATACCCCATATTTGCTTAAAGCATCAAGAAATATGTTTCTGGAACACTTATTGACACACTTGACAAATGTTTTGCACATAACTTAAAGCCACATAAATTCAAATGCTTTTGAAAATATGAAAACAAGTATGCAACCCAACTATTTAGGATGTGTTGCAGCAGGAATGACTTCGTACATTCTTTTTAAAAGTTTTTCTGCTGATGCAATTGGGATAGTGGAATTTGTGTACAGGATGAACAAGTTCTTTTTATTTATTCAATTCATTCAAACAGTAAAATTGATAGAAAACTTTTGCTACAATTTTTAAAAGTGAACGATGTCAATTAAAATTTCTTGATTATTCATTACTTGACCAGTTAAAACTCTAATGAAAGAAAGTGGACAATACATCACCAATTGGATGAATTTTTTAACAGTATAGAAAATGGCTACATCTGCATTGAAAAAATTGTGGTCTTTTGTAATGCAAAAGGACTTGTATCAATTGCAGTGAGAAAGCTAATTCAGGATATCTTGGAGAATTTGAAAGGGCAAATTAGACAAGGAGGTATTTTTAATAGGAGAATTGGACAAATCCAACATTGCTGACTTGAGATCTTTTAAGAAATTACTTGGTAATGTCTTACACAGTTGAGGGGAAAATTATAAAGACTATTTTGAAAACAATTTTCTAGATCTTGATCAGTTCAAAAATTGTAAGTCCCCCCAATCAGAATAAACCACATTAACCACATCTGATGACACTAATTATTAGGGAGAGGATATTTATACCCTAAAAATTATTGAAATATGATTTTAAAATGTGCATTTATGTCTTAAAAATTCTTTAATATGCAATTAAAATTAATATTTCATTTTCTGTATAAACCATGCTTGTAATGAAAAGATAGATATATTTGTGCAAACAATATAATCTACCTTAATTCACAGGAAAAATAATTGAAGTAAATATTCATCTAGTATGTCTTGTTGAATTTCTTCTGCCTGGTTTAAAAAAATATAATGTCAAGAACCTAAATTTACACTATTATTTATTCATCTGTAGGGAAAAAAACAACAAAAAAACAAATGCAAACTGTGACAAGCTCTTTTGAATTAATTAACTCATAAATGGAAAGATTAAATGTTTTAGAGATAATTCTCTATTTTAACGAAATAAGCTAAATGTGCACTTATAATCACACAAATATGCATCAAAATCTGCCAAATATGCATTAACATATTAATGTATATGGTATCCATTTATAATCAAATGTAAAGAAATTTCACTTAGCTATGCCCTGGAGCATGAACAAAAAAATGCAGAACTCTAGAAATCCGCTCGCTGCTGATTATAGAAACTTAGGAAGAACAGAAAATAATTCTATTAAGTGGGTATTTAATGAAAAATTTACGATTAAGAATACTTTGTTGCATTCGTAAATATTATACAATTCCCACTGAACAGGTACACTTCTAAATGTGTACTTAAAAATGTGCTTCTCTAGAAGCGTTGCGGGGGAGGGGGGAGAAGGGGAAGCATTGTCTCCTTAAGCCCTCCCTCACATTACGGCAAGTGCTCTGATAGAAATGTATAAAACTTACCGATTGGCTACTGCTTGTAGAGTTTGGAGGCGCCCTCATGGAACGACAAAAACCTCTCAGTACAGCAAAATGCTGAAAACCATCGTCTTCTAAGCAGTTATAAGACTTCCAACAGTCGGAGAACACGACGGACCCCGGTATGACATACTTAATAATGCCCAGCTCCTCTCTGCTGCGTGTTTTAACGACCTTGAAAAAGGCGCGCTTCGTCTTTCGTTCGACTCTCCCACACACCCATTTCCCAACCACTCCCCACACCAGCGCCTCCAATGAGTTCACTCTTTACCTGACGCACGACAAACTCATCCACTCGGCCATGGTTCCATTTTTACGTTTAATTCATTCATAATAAATTCACACGGTAATTTTATGACCCAAAGATAGGTCATTGCTCATACCTGAATTATACCCAACTTTCTTTCCGCGAACCATGAC